CCGTCATGAGGGGCGGATGGACGTCGAGCGAACTCATCCGGTCATCCCGAGGAATGGCACAAGGTAACGGTTCGCGAAAGTACAACCCTTTCCTGGCCAGCAAGGCGATGAAGTTGAAGTTGTCTGGTCAGGTGAGTAGGGAGATTAGCGAGAGGAGACAGGTGGGCGATGCGGCGGATATGTTTGCCGACAAGGCGAGTAGCGATGGGGAGAAGCCTTGGTGGAGGAATGTAGGTATGGAAGAAGGCATGTGAGGTGTAAGATGTTGGACTTGGAACAATTATTTAGACAAGTGGCGGGAGGCACTCGCGGATTCGGGTGCCTGCGACCTTGAAAGGTATCATGCTTTGAGCCAGGCATGATGATACGATACGGCGTTTGGCGAATGCCATGTTATGATCTCAAAACATATGAGAATGAGACGGAAACATAGTTACGCGAAATAGTAACGTTGTTCGTCTTGCCTACAAAACCTCATGTAATGCTTGATATGGAAACGCCAAGGGGTATAAAGCTAACCGTGCTCTGTCCTTTCCCATGAACCGATAAATGCCAAAACCACAATGTCCAACGCCGTAATCAATCCACATCTACCTTGAATTACCCCCACTTCAACCGTGCCCTTGTCCAGAACTAACCCTCTTTCTCATCTTGGCGATATCCCTCTCCTTGCCCTTCGCACTTCTTGCCGGACTTCCACCTGCCACACTTTGCCCTTCTGCGGATCCACCTCCCGAGCCTTGGACCTCCCACTCATCACGCCAAGCTACAGCATCTTTCTCCCATTTTGTAAGGCCAAGGACGACGTTCCGATAGTGCGCGCGCGTTTGCGGTATACTCTGTCTCATGAATCAAGAGTTAGCATAGATCCACCATAATACAAATATAAGAGAGGGCAGAGAGATCGCCATACCTCATTCCTCACGCCCGCAATCCACATAAGCATCTCCTCACTCTCCAGTATACTAATCGCCTCATCCCTTCTCTGCCTCTCCTCCCAATCCTTCCCCTGCGGTCCCGCTGCGCCAAAATGGTAGTTCTTGCCTCGCGCTTGCAGACTCCTTCTTGTTTCCAGCATGGATTTGCTGGGAGTTATACCACTACCACTGCCGCTTCCTCCTAATCCTCCTCCTGCTTGTTTGTGCCCCGATCCTTGTCCCTGTGGCGATTGCTGATATACTCTCGGCGCGTCGAACCACCCCGCGCTGGCGTCGTTGCTGGGGCCAGCGCTGGAACTACCGGCGAGGTGTTGGGGCGTAAGTGTAGTCGGTCCTTGATGTCCACTGTATGGAGTATTGAATCCATATTCTCCAGGTATTCCGCCGCTAGTAGTGGGTGCGTGGCCACCGGGGATTGCAGATGATGAACTGGTCATGTTGCTTGTGAGTTGTTCGTATTGTTGTTGTTCGGTGTCGTGTTGGCTAAGAAAGTTTGCGCCGGCGGGGGTTGGGGGTTGCCATGTCATTGTTGCATTGCTGGAAGATTTTGGCGACAAGCTCAGTGTCTGTGTTGTGCGATGTTGTTGGAGCGCGTTGGGTACGGATGTGGAGGGAGCTTGGAAGCTGAGTGGGGTCTCGATGTTGATGGTCAATGTCCGCGGGGGAGGCTTAGATGGGAAGGTGGCAGCAACAAGACACTACGATTGAGCGTTCCAAGACCTGTCACATATGCTTGTTTATTGGTACTTCACCTACTACTTGCATCGTAGATAATTGAGAAGTCAGAGCATATGCATCGCTGAAGAAAAGACTCAATATCAGGATGTCCTTTGACATTGATATCTGGTAGCTACTGTCATGCCTTGAAACGTCGACACCTCCTCCCTTTGACCGTCGACCTTGGGATATTGCCGTCTAGTGATGTGACCAAAACGCTGAAATGCCAATCTATGCCAAATGCTTAACACACACGCCGAGAGATTAACCTTGAGTCGATCAAAACGCAAACCCCACATAACCTTCTTTGTCCGTCTATAGTGTCGATGCTAGTTCGTAAGGATTCTTCCCACATCCGCTCCCAAGGGAAGCGGCGCCGAGCATATTTCCCCAGGAGCTGGATGGAGTTAGGCCTATGTGCTGCCATTTGCAGGCTGATGCTCAGCCTTGCTGCCCTTACCTCGCCAGGTGCTGACTGCCGGGATATCGGCCTTCAGTCTCTCTTCTTGTGTAGAGTACGCCTTGGGCGTCAACTTGATCAACGTGTGTAGTGGGACTTCCATCCATGGGCTCTGCTCCTGCGGTACGTTCATGAAGTATGCGTAGATACACCTGAGAATGGCCTGGTGTGTGACGATCAAGATGTTCTCGCTGCGCTCTAGCTCCATGATGATGGGCTCGAGGCGGATAACGACGTCGCGATATGACTCTCCACCCAAGTAGCGGTAGTTGTATTTGTCTTCATCGCGTTGCTTGAAGTCTTCAGGGAATTTTTGCTCGATTTGAGCGTATGTAAGGCCATCGCAGACACCAGAGTCGAGTTCGTCGAGCGCTTTCCATTCCAACTTCTCGAATGTAAGGAATCGTGCGGTTTGAATCGTTCGCTTCAAGGTTGAGGTCCAGACAGTAAGTTTGCGGCCGTCGCCGACAGATTTCGCAACCAGACCGGGAAGCGCATGCGCGTAGGCGTCGCCTCGCTCTGAGAGGTTGGCATCTCCACCGATTTGTCCTGTGAGGTTGTACTCGGATTCACCGTGCTGCTACGATTAGCTTTCATAGCGTAGTCTCGCAAAGATTACTTACTCGCGATAACCAGATCGAACGCGGCTTGATGTGGAGGTTCATCAAGTAGTACACCACTCTACTCTGGAGATAGTCCTGGATCTGGTTGATGATGACCTGCTTACCCACGTCGATAAGCTTGACATATGTAAGGTCGCGCTCGTCTTCGTCTATTGTCTGGTACACCTTCTCGTAGTTGCGAATACGATTGCGGAAATCTGCTGCAGCTTCCTCGGGGTCCTGGCCAACATAGTCCGGAGAAGTCGTCTTTACTTCCAGTATGTTGCTCATAATGAGATCCTCGTCGTCACATTTTGACTCAACGAACAACGTCTCGATGTTCTCCGCAGCACATCGTTCTTGGATCCACCTGCGACGGCTCTTGGTCGAGTTTGTGGCGTCTAGTATTGCGATCAAGCCCCTGCCCTCGGAAAACCACTTGCACATGTCATTGACGGCTGCTTCGGCGGCTGCTTTTCGGAGGCGCTCTCCTTCGGGGTTGGAGGTGTCGAAGAACTCGGCGGAGGGGTTAGGGGTTGCAGTACGGCGATACTGTCCAACGTTGAACGTCTTTGATTTGATCGATAACCAATGTAGGTAACGAACGACTGCATGACAAAGGTTTAGCAGTTGCACAGGATTGTGTAGGAGAAGCTTACCTTTCTGTGCGATCAGACTCTTGCCCCGCGCAGGCAAGCCCACCATGACGACGCATATCCGCGTGTCTTCGGCCTGTACACCAGCACCGTTAGTCTTTCTGCTTGGTCTTACGAACTCGCCAGCAGGCACTGCGCGCATATTTGGCGCATAAATTCCATTGGAGTCTGTCATTGTGTGTCGCGAGTCCAGCTCCCTGAAATCCAGTAACGGCGACGCGAATGTACAAGAAGTTGAGAAAAGTTATGAGATCGGAAATCTAGCCGAAGGTATTCCGATATGCAGCGATAGAATGCGGCTTTTAATCAAAGATGCAGCAAGGACAGATGCTAAGCGGTCAACAGAAGCCACAGGAGTCGCAGAGCTGGAATCGTCTGTTAGGTGAAGCAATAAGTGTATGGACGTCGAATGTCGTGTTGCAGAGTCGTGAGATCGGCCCGGCAGTCAAGAAGCGAGAGGAGATGGATTGATTGACGATGATTCCCCCGCATTCGGTACGGCGTCCTTCTTTTCACAAGCCAGAAAGCAAGCGTTCGGATTGCGGCTCCAGGCTAGCGGGCACGGTGGAGCAGATGTAACGGGTGATTCTCATTCGATAGCAGATGCTCTGGCTGCAGTTGATTGTGTCCACTTGACCGGCAGTCGTGACAGTGCAACAACAGTCGTCGCTGGCGCCTACCAATTCGTGTTCCTTGGGGCTCGGCCTCCAGCAATGGGCGCCATCAGGCCAGTTTCAAGCAGTCGCCGTGTTGCTACGAATTCTCCGGTCGTGTGCCATGATGCCACATGCTTCTGCGGTATGACGACAACGGCTCCAGCAGCATAGCTAGGGGTAGTCCAGAACCATGCCATACATACTAAAGCCGCCGAAAGCCGGAAAGACGTGATGGATGGGTGCGAAATTTCTTTACGTTGTAGTAGTCGCACGCCAGTCGTCGTAAATCGGCGAAAAACAATGGTGCACCCTGGAGATCTTCGCAAGAAAAAAGATAACTTACAGTTGATATCGAGTAGGTCCGAGTGTGACCCATTTTTGACATCAGTACGCGTTGTGATGATGGCGTCACGCAAGCTGTCGTTGTGGCGGGGCAGTGGGCTGGCAAAGTATTGTATGTCTAGCAATCTGTCGCTTGGGTGTTGAAGGTAGGAGGATTAAATGCACATCTCGAAAACGGAGTAGATTGTTCCTCGAAGCTGCTAGATGTGTACACGCAAGCCTGGGGTACGTCCAGACCGCTATCGCTCTGGTACTGCAGTGTGTGATCGCCGCGGGATTGGTTATCTCACATGGCTACCACTATTCTCCCCACGTGTAGGCAACCTGATAACAATGCATAGTGGCTGGCAGCCGCTATTTGAAAAGCACTCATATCCAAAGGTGTGGCCATTACCAATATTAAAGACTTGTATTTTTTCCCAACGGGTTCAACAATGCTCATTATATCGTCTTTCATATACCTATACCAAAACTTCGCCTACGCTATGTGCAATCCTACGCCATAGTCCAAGCTATAAAGATGCGGGTATCTAGCAATGCTGAAATCATCTTGCGCTACAAAATGCGATGCGAAATCAATCTCCAGACGGCCGTTATGTGTCATGGACTCTGATGAGGCCAGCTAAATATCAAGCATATAGTTTGGCCATTCCGTTGACCCGGTGAGCGTCGTCGATTCCACTCTGCAAAGCAAGGAGAGTCGCACTAGCATCGAGCCGTCGTTTTAATGCTGCTGCTGTCCTTTCCTGTCCCCTGCTACCAATGCCTTCTTCAACCCATCGGATCTTGTTGATCATAAAACTGAGACCTTCGTGAGCTTTGCTCTTCCTGCTCGAAATGCCATACTCGACGGACCCGGTGTATTCTTGGAGTTGCGGAAGGATGAGTATCTCAATCTGCAGGTCCATGTCGGCAGGCGGCGTCACAGGAGCGGCCGGGGTCTTGATCAGAACGTCAGCAGCATCGGTTGGGTCGTTGGGCGCGGTGATGCGTGGATCGAGCATAGCAACATCAACGGTATCATCCCATTCGCCACGTATCCACCCAGAATGGATCGCTGCAGCAATAGGGTCTGAATCATCGCGATACACACGCGCACCCCAAAGATGTCTCTCCAACACAACATGCTGGCGTTGTCGTGGTTTTAGGTAGTATCGAGGTACCCTGATGGTAAAAGTGCAGTTGATGGGGTTGACATCGAAGCGAGGCAGACGTTGGGGTTTCGAGGCATATCCGAATTGATCGTCTAGCGACGAGTTGGGTTTTGGCAGTTCTGTCTTTGCTTCGTACAATTGCGATCCAAGATGCTTACGAGGACGCTTAGCAGCTTCCTCAAGAATAGGTTGCACGTCGTGGACCTTAGTGAGGACCTTCGTGACTTGTTGCGGCGGCTGGTGGGCAACTCGGGGGGCGTGGTGGTGGTGATGGTGATGTGGATTTGCTCCAATATGATGGTGGTGATGAACCGACTGGCCTGGGCCGGCTTGTGGTAAGCTCGCTTGTCGCCCGTTAATCAAAGTTGAGGCTGGTGGCATGGACGCGTCCTCGTCAGGCTTGTGGTGGTGATGATGGTGGTGACTATGCTGTTAGTAAATACCTCGACAGAGGCTGAGTAGACTCACTGATGATGGTGGTGTTTGTTCCGCTTAGCCCCACGAGCGCCAGGTGTTCCTCTGCCGTCAGCGTTCTCCATGTCGAAAATGCCTTCCTCGTCCTTGACTCGTTTCGGCGGCTTTCTGCCTTGCTGAGAGCCGATCCTTCTCATCATTTCGCCGTTGTCCGACTCAAATGAGCCCTGACCGTTTTGTGGCATGGGACTTCCCCGCGACGGAGTCGACGATCCCAAGCCGCTGCCGAGCCCGGAGAACATGCGTCCGAATTCGCTTTTGATACCAGGATCTTTGCCAATTGACAAGGGCTGCGCCTGGGCACCTTGAACAGCTTGTGGTAGTGGGGACGCTCTGCCAGTCCGTCTGCTTGCTTCCAAGCCAAAGCCAATGTGTGATTTGGAGTGTTGCATGGCTTCACCCATCTTGGGAGGCTGGTCGTATAGGGATCGGGATGACAAAGAGCGCGCGAGTGGCTCAGTCCTATGTCGCTCAGAGTTGGGATCGGAGGTAGGAGGAGCGTGATACTGCTCCACAACGCGGTGGCCCAGCTGGTCTACACTGCGTCGCAGCATTTCCTCGGAGCTTGGTGGGCCATAGCGAGGACCACCTAGCATGTGCGGAGGGTATGGACCGTAAGTGCGATGCATCGGTGGAGGCTCCTCTGCGCGACTATCCTGGGGAGGCTCGCGAGCAGCACCGGTGGGCGCTGATTGACGCCAAAGACTGCGCGGAGGTTCTGATGAGCCAGAGATATTGCGTTGTGGTTGAGGGGGACTGAAGCCAGATTGCGACACAGGGTGCACAGTCACGGGCCGATCTCTCTCGGACGCGCTGTGATTTGTGCCCGCTAGGAGCTCTGCAGCGTTGGGCCTTGCGTGATGCGACTCGCCCAGTGTGCGTCGTCGCTCCTCAGGTGGTCCAAAAGCGCTGCGCCGACCTGCAAATCCATCGTACATGGACCTCCCCTCTTGTTCAGTGTTTCCTTGGGGACCCATGGGCTGGCTGTTCGGTCGAGATGGGACATTTCCAGACGGCTGACGCCCTGCATCGTGCGCATATGGACGATGGCCAGGGAAATTCAACGGCTTGTAGGATTGCGCATTTGGTGGTAGCGACTGGCGGCCTGGGTCAGGCGAACCTTGGTTGCTGTAGGACTGTCTGGGTGATCCAGCCGAGAAGGCGTGTCCCTCAGATGAGCGCGAAGTATTGCTAGCGTACATGCTGCGCTCTGGAGTGGACTGGCGACGGAACGGGGGGAAATCTGATCGTGCGCCAGCTGGCAAGGCACGCCGGGGCGAAGGTGGCTGCATGCTGTGACCGTTGGCGGATGAGGCGTTGGTGGGAGGTGAGGGCTGTGGTTGTGTTGTTTGATTAAGGGCCCCTGTGTCACCCCCGCCGCCGATGAGAGAGGAGATGGACATGCTGCTTCCCGGTCGCAACGCCTGCCCTAAGCCAGGAAGCTCTCTGTTGGCGCCAAAGTTGGAGGCGTACTGTGGACGCTGCGACTGGGATGCATGAAGATGCTGCTGCGTGGGAGAGGATGGGGGAGGCATTTGGGGTCGCGCGAAGGATGGTGGAGGTGGAGGGTCGTGAGACGGGCCTGGAGGGAGAGTTAGTCTGGGACAAAGCTTGAACCATTGCTTTTGGGAGCGGGGCTGTACCATAGGAGGCCGGGGGACTGGCGCCGTTCAGCGAAGAGTTGCGCGCAGCATCGAAGCTATAGGGCGCAGGCGGTTGAGGATTGTTGGAGGCCGTCATTTGCGGTGGAGGGTTCGTCTGAGAGCGATGAGTCTCGTAGTGTATCGGTCGCGCTAAAGACATGGATCAGCACAAGCTCGGACATTGAGTCGCGACTTTTCGAAAGAGGTTTAGAGGCCCGCGGATCGTGCATTAGCTAGGAGCCACATCTGCGGAGTGCGCCATAGAATTCGCCAGACCCATGCCAACTCCACCGACAAATGCGCGCACCGTTCTGCAACCCAAATGCTCGGTTGGTGTGGCTCGGGATGCTATGGCGACACTAGTAGGGAAACACTGCCTGCATTTGCTTGCATTCTTATGACGAGAGGGGCGGTGAAGTGCTTTTTCGCAATTGACGTGTCATGCCGCACGTCAATGCAGCCAACGTCTTCCCACTACCGTCTCTTGCCTGTCTTTCCACCACCCAGACAGCCACGCGAGCGGTGCCACAGGGACTGAGACACTCAGGTCAAAATGCAGCCTGGATGACTTGAGCACCTTTGTGACTGGTAAGAGCTACAAAAATGCGCAAACAAGTCCAGAGTACACTACTGATGCTTTGTCCCTGGCCTGTGCACTGCGCAGATGTGCTCTTGAAGACATGGGCAAAGATGTAGACCTACCTGTATTTGACCAACTCCCCTGTCCTTGCCCCTCAGCCTGGCCTTGCGGCGCGTTGTTACCAGCGGACCGTCCTTGACTACTGCCTCGAGCATGTTGTGGTCCTGACGGGAGGAATGGGTCGCGACGGGGCATCGAGTACGGGTCGACGGTGTAGGCAGCGTGGGGTGGCTGTTGTTGCGGTTGCGAGGCTGGCGGGTAGCCTGGATACGCTTGCGTCGTCTGCGGGTGGTAGTTCACAGGGCCGTCTGGCGGACGTTGGTAGGGTGGTGGGCGATCCATAGTCGACTTGGGCTCATCTGAGTAGTGAGGACGAGGGAAGATGTCAGGATCGCGAACAGAACCTCGCAAGGTAGTCTGAGTCGATCGTACAGTGGTCAACGATGGATGTTGTCGTCGTCGTCACGGGGAGCGGCTCCAAAGCGAGCTGCCGTATTGCAGAAGGAAAGAAGCCTCGAGCATGCGAGGAAACGAGAAGGCGCAATGGGACCAAGCGCCAGCATCCCTGTAGGATATAGCGCAGCCCCGCAGCCCGACTAGAGGAAGGTATGACATGTGTGATAGGCCTTTGCACCCACCCCAAGACGTTTGCTCGACAAAAAGCCATCATGATGCGTATACCAGAGAACCCTGGCAATACTTGGTCGATAGTGCCTGACAGTCTCGCCCAGTCTGTTGCCACTCAAGGCACAAAAAGGAACGCGCATGCCATGCGACTCGGAACATCTGACGCCCGTTTGTCGCCCATGCAGCCCGTTCCTGAATCGTTCCTTGACCGCCTGGTGCCAAGCCCTGATCGGCAGGTGCCCCCATCCATGTCACTGGTCCAGCCACAGCCATCATCAACACCACCACACGCAGCTGTTCCGAACTGCTCCTCGTCATCTGAGGCACACGACACGTGCCAGTCGCCTTCACCCTCAAAACTGCGATATGTGAAGTGCCATCACCTCTGCAACCTATGCCGCTCCTCCCCATGCCTGGCTCCCCCGCTTCTTCCTGGGTCGTCTATCGTGCGCGCTTGAAGGCTGTCTTCCACGGCGCTGATCCACGCGTATGCGCCGCCTTTTGGTTGTTCGGTATGCATGCACCTGAACCCTCGATGAGGGGCAGCACCACGGCAGCTAACAGCCCTAGGCCTCATTAACAATGTCCTCTACGTAATCATCCTCTCCGCTGCTCTCGACCTCGTTGGTCCAAATGTCCCCAAAGGCGCCGTACTTCTAGCCGATGTTATCCCTTCGTTCCTGACAAAACTATGCGCCCCATACTTCATACACAAGATCCCATACACTGTTCGCATCCTCATATTCGTCGCTCTCTCGGCATGCGGCATGCTCATCATCGCCCTCACCCCTCCGCTGCAGGACTCGGGCACCATTGCCATCAAGATGTGTGGAGTGATGCTTGCCAGTCTGAGCAGTGGAGGTGGTGAATTGAGCTTCCTTGGCCTGACACATTACTATGGTCACTTTGCTCTGGCTTCTTGGGGCTCAGGTACTGGCGGCGCAGGTCTAATCGGTGCTGGAGCGTATGCCATCGCGACCAACACGCTGGGCATCACCCCTCGCACAAGTCTACTTGTCTTTTCCTTCCTGCCGCTAATCATGGTCTTGAGTTTCTTCGTCATACTCCCACTTGGGCCGCTGCGTGCTGGCGCTCCGAAACAAGGTGGTTACGAAGCCATCGATAACCAAGGGGACGACGAGGAAGACGAGGTTGCCCAGGCGCATGAACAAGACGATCTACTGTCTTCCTCCATGCATTCAGCTTCAGGGCGCAGCTTCACTTCTGTCAATAACAAGGGTGCTAACAGTGCACCGAGTAGCTTCCGGGCGAACCTCAACCGGGCGCGAGGATTGTTCTTCCCGTAGTAAGTCTATTGTACACACCCTGAATACGCAAGGCTGACCTGCCACAGCATGTTGCCCCTACTCCTCGTCTACATTGCTGAGTACACCATTAACCAAGGCGTTGCACCCACTCTGCTATTTCCCCTCGAATCCTCCCCCTTCGACGAATACCGTTCTTTCTACAGCACGTACAACGCCATCTACCAGGTCGGTGTTTTCATCTCGCGCTCCTCCACACCCTTCATACGCATACACCACCTATACGTCCCATCGTTTCTTCAAGTCGCCAATCTCATCATCCTCGCCCTGCACGCCATGTTCAATTTCATCCCGAGCTACTACATCGTGTGCGTTATCATATTCTGGGAAGGCCTGTTAGGCGGGTTGGTCTATGTCAGTACCTTTGCTGAGATCACGGATAACGTTCCGAAAGAGGATAGGGAATTTAGTCTGGGTGCGACCAGTGTGAGTGATTCTGGAGGTATATGCATCGCTGGGTTCTTAGGCATGGCCGTTGAGGTAAGTCTGTGTCGCTGGCAAGTTAATCATGGCAGGAATTACTGCAAATTGCAGTGAGATTTGTAATATCATACGCTTTCAAAAAACCTTGGTTCCATACCGTTTGAATCATCCTTATCATATGACTCTGACCTCGCGGTCCAATCAGAAAAGCTCCTACGACTCGTTTAGAAGGTTGACGTGTGTGAGCAATTGTGATTTCATCGCAGTAATTATAACCACGGTTTGGAACCGGCAAGTTTTTACTCTTTAGTGCATACAATACATCAGCATTCTCTGCTAGATACATATACTCGCATTAATCTTCTATAATATGTCACCAATCCTTATCTACAACACTACGGGCGGGATAATGAGACTACTCCCGCACGAGGCTTCAAAATATTCCAGTAACCCACCTCAGTCTGCACCTGACGCAACAGAACTCGACACAAATAACTCGACACTACACTCTGACACTCAGCAACAACAGGAAATGAAGGCCGGTTTGCCACAATACCATATCAACGGTGTGGAATTGAGATGGAGTCCAGCCTGCAATATCATCCCCCAATATCCCATACGAATTGTAAGTCTACATTCTCTATTTCAAATTGACAGCTGAGATGTATCCCGAACGGTTTGATAGTAAATTACAGCATCACCTGATCATGTAAAATACCGCGAATGTCTGTAGGATGTGCTTTCAACTCGACGAACCCTACTAACACAAGTGCTAGACGGGACTAAAGGACACGAAAGAGAGCACTGTGGTTGTGAAGGATCAGGTTGGGCTGGACCAGTTGGTCATGCATGTGAAATGGAGGCGGTGTGGGAACCACCTGGAGAAAGACGGTCTTGAACCAGTCGACATCTTCGATGGTCTGGGTTGTGAGGGAAAACAACGGGGTGTCATATTTGAGGAGTACGTGGGTTGTAAAACAGATGGGGATTGTGAGGACGAGGACGATGATGAGGAAGTAGATGTAGTTGCGCCCATCTTTGTCCAGGTAGACGTACTCAGTGCCACTGATGCCGCTTTCTACGAAGATGACGAAGACGCCGCGACGGAATTTGACGAAGAGATTGGCGTCCGACCTTGTGTTGGAAGGCAATATGTTTGGCAAGTTTGAAACGGCCACTGGAGGGTCGTCACTATTACCAGTCATTACATCCTTGAATGAACAATCCAACTTTGATTCTACCAAATTTCTCATCGACATGCCTGTTTCTCTAACCATACTGGCTATGGTAAATCTCTCCAAGTCCGCCTTTAATTGTTAGTCGTCTAATTCGTGCACCAAAGCGACGTTATGGCAAGCATCGTCAGATGATCCACTTCCCGCTTCGAAACCATGGTTCGTCCCTTCCGCCTCGCTACAGTCAAGCCTATGAACGAGCAGCAATCGATACTGCCGCGTAGGAGTCACAGAAAAGCCATAGTATATATCTGGCAGCAACGTCCCGATCAAATTGTCATCCGATCCTAATCTTCTACACTGTCTCCAACTGTCTTAACCACCAATACGCTTGCCTTCCAAGCCACTCACACCAACAACACCAAAATGCCTGCACAAATCCAACGCCGGCGTTCAAATCTCCTGAAAACGTGGCATATCGCTACGCTAGCACCGGGATTCGATGCAAGTCGCCTCGATTTTCCAATCCTCGTTGTAAGTTCTGCTTTCCGTTACAGACTCAAGAAGCAGAAGGATGTAGCTAACAAGACACGAATAGGCCACCAATGACAACAGGGACAAGATCCACGTTTCTTCACAAGAGGAACTAGATACCATTCTCGCCAGGTATCGGGATAATGAATCTCAAAAATCCTCTACACTGGCTTCGTCTCCACAACGAAGCGACAGTGTGGTCGGGTCGTTGAGACTGAACCCTCAACTATACCGCACCGACATAGATAGTATCAGTATCATCTCTTCCTCCAGCTCCTCCGCCTCGTCGGAAACTTCGGCAAGTGAAGAGTATGATACCCCATTATCCGAGCATTTTGTCAATGGAGAAATCGTATGCACAGGTGGCCTTACTCTTGAGGCTCGAGATTTGACGCAGATTGAAAACGAGGCGAGAGATTTGGTGTTTAGCCGTGGACGTTCTGTGAGTATGGCTGTGAGGAGGAGGTACAGGAAGAAGACTACTGGGGTGCAGAAGGTGAAGAAGTTTGTGTCCAATTTCTTCAAACATCTTGGTAGTTTGCGCTACAGTGCATAGCAGGGGCGATTTGAGGCCTCCTAATCTCAATAACTAGATTCTTTAGACTTGTCTTAGTAGACTATGTTTTGTGTGATTTTTGTGAAGCATTTCCGCTCCGCTCTGAAGCATACCTGAGTAATAGAACTCTCATGTCAATGTAGAGTATTCTCTCAAATCGCAAATCGTGCACATACTCAAAGACTCGACTGTATGCGCTTCGCTACCTCCCAAAAGACGTAATGCGCCCGTGCGTCTATGGTGAAGATGAACCATAGTCCAGGCATCCAGGGACCCGCTTTCCTCCTACTGTGACTATGTTCGCGACGAAGAAGGACCAGAGTTGCGATTTCCATAGAACCATAGTTCTGTCAGAAACTAACGAAAATTCCCTGCTCATTTCGTATATGAACAGCAGTCCTGAGCCCTCTAGACTTTATCTTCATAACGATTTACCCAACGCTCTAACAGCCAACTAAACGTCACATCAACTACTAAAATGTCAGCATACATCGAAACCGCATGGCCTTGCCAGCAAAACCTTAATATCCGCGAGATCCAAGCAACACCTGTCGCCCTTATCAGGTTCCTTCTGCAGATTGTAAGTAGCCCACGGCCCCTCCCATGTGATGAAAGAACATCCCTGAGCGGTATTCCTTGCTCGAATTCTGTGAAACTTACCAACGTTGCCATAGACTGGGCTGAATTACGAGTCTCCATCGACATGCCCAGACATCGAACTGGTGGAGACCAATACCCACCTTGCATGGCTGGTGGAAAAGTACGAACTCTTCCTGGCGAGGAAAAGGCTTGCGCGCCTATCTGATACTCCTACAACAGTCAATGTGGGACTACCATATGATGGTCATTCTCTTGGATTGATCGAATCGAAACCAAGAACCTACGAGGTCGGCTATTACGTCGCCCCAGGAATGCCTGAAGCAAGTGACGAATGGCTAGTTCATAAGCCATACGACCCCTTGGTAGACACCCATACGGAACGACCACCAGTCGCCTCGACGCCTACGTCGCGAACTCTATCTGCTCCCGGGACGCGAACTCTATCGGCTCCTGGGACGCCTGTCAGACCCCCGGACAGACCAGAGACTCGGGTGGTCCGTGCAGGTACGGCACATGGTGTGGCTATGACTGGGCTGGATGCAAGGTGGAGAGCGTAGATGGCATTGGTTGCATTTTGGGCATTTCGAATATACCTTCAACTAGCTGCCATCCAGGTGTGCCAGTGAAATACGTATTGCTAGCAGTGTTAGACGGACAGTAATGCGATATCAGTTCATAGTCTCTGTAGTTCATCAGCTGTTCCAGATCATCCTTGACACATCCAAGCGCTCAAATCATCGGTCGTTCATGGCGCGTCGCCAGGTGGTAGACGGTAGTAAATTGTTCTTTTCCAAGACTCATCTAGAATACACATGCCTACCCCTCACGTCCATCGCCATGCGCTCTCGCTCTATATTTACAAAGTATCCTTGAGGAGCTTGTTCATCTTGGCCATCTTGGCGGCGACAGACTTGTCGATGGTGCGGTCGGCGATCTCGACGATGAGTCCACCGCGGATCTCGGGGTTGACCTTGGGAACGACCTTGAGGGTCTGGCCGTTCTGGACGTATTGCGAGTTCTTGATGGCGTTCTCGAGGCGGGAGATGGTCTTGTTGTCGAGAGGCTGCGTCATGTCAGTTGTAGTTCTGATTTTCTTTCCAAGTCCTCCAACTGTGTTGTTCCATCCCATCTCAGAGTCAACGTACCGCAGCGCTGGTAACGGTAAGCTCAACCTCGCCGCGGTGGGCACCCATGAGCACACCGAACTTCTCTACAACACCCTGTAGTACGCCCAATCGGTTGTTCTCGGCCAGTGTGCTGAGGAAGTTCTTGACGATGCCGTCCTTGTCGGCGCCGCCAATGTGCTTCTGGAGCTCCTGGACAATCTGCTGCTTGTCGGAGACGGAGAGCGAGGGAGCGTGGAGGATCTGGCTGAGCTTGGCGTCCTTTTGGAAAACACCCTGGAGAGCCTGGAGCGACTTCGCGGTGGGGTCGAGGGCGTTGGTCTTCGCGGCCGCGGTGTACTACCACAATTGTTAGCCAAAGCTCTTGCCTAGCCATTGGCCCGCATTCCATCCGCGTATCATCGCCAATGTGCCAATTGAAGTCGTGGAAGGCGTACCAGAGCACTCGCGTAGGTTCCGTCAACGCCGAAGAGGGCAACCGGGGGCTTGTTGGCAGAGCCAGTTGGGGCAGCGGCGGCAGCGTAGCTTCGGGTTGCGGCGTAGCGGGCGGCCATTGGGGCGCGGGGCGCACCAGCCCGGAAAGCGGTGCTGAAGGCACGAGCTGCAGACATGGTCGGTAGAGGGGAGATGGATTGCGGGATGGGGCAGCTTTCGGGGCGCGGGTGCAGTTGAGGATGCTGCGATGAGGTTTCTGAGCCCGGCTCGGCACTGGCTGGGGCTAGCACCGATTGGGCCGCGGGTTCTCTACCCCAACCGCAACTCCATCACGAATCTTTAAGAACTTTCATCTGAAGGCAATCATTCACTACTCGAGTGACGTCCTGATTCTGAGGCATATCACGCGACCCCAAAAGTTCTTTTACCATCTAACTCGGTCGGCGTCTCAATCTCAAGCAAAATTTCAAAACTTGGCAAAGCCGAAAGTGATTGATTGATAGTAGGGCCTCTATCATGAAAAGTGTTTGTGGTATGACGTTGTGGCGGAAGCTCACGTAGCGAAAGAGAGGGTCGATAGGCAAAGCTCATGATGATATACGACCTTGCCCCACCACTACTGAACACCATGCTGATCGAGCGACAACCTCGTCGCGACGACCCCTCCAGGACCATGTAGATGGGTCTTGGCATATAGTGTCTAAGATGTATACTGCCCACGAGGCACATCACCTATCGGCACAACACCAAGCTCTCTCGGAGAGCGTTGGTCCTCACTCCTTCACCTCACCATGGGCGTATATTGCGAACACTGCGTCACGAGGAGTATGGAGATACCCCACCTCGAGTCTAGCAGCAGTCCTCCCTCACCTTCACATATCCTCTTTCCTGCGTATTTACTAGTCTTTCAGTCTACCTTACTCTTCTTCTACTACCTAACAACCCACTCCGTATAAAGTAAAGAACCATGGCCAGAATGGATACTCCATTTGAGCGACCGCAAACACCTCCATGCTCGTATCCCCTTACGCCACCTTCCACCGGCGGCCCGAAGAAACGCGTGCGCTTCAGTGATGTTGAAGACTTCAAAAGCAAGGCAAGACGCGCTAACGCTGTCAGTGAAGGGGAGTCACCTGATGCCTTTTTCGAAGAGCCCGAGGAAGCTTTCGATACCGAGACTAGCAATGGTAGCGATGATGGAGAGAGTACTCCACTAGCAAGCAACACCGTCCCTCTGTCTCCAACTTCGACAGGCTTCTCCAAGACCAAGCCCACAGCTCTCGAGAAGCACAACACATTCGCCTCTTTAGCCTTCACTATCGATGCACCTACCACCATGACTGAGCCTTTTCGCTTCATGGACCTCCCTATGTCCATCCGCAACCAGATCTATGCGCACCTCCTCGTCGTCCCGGGTCTGATATGTGTTCGTCAGAAGCGCACTGCGTTTCATAACGAAAAGACAGCATTCCTCTACACCGAGCGCCGTGAGTTTCTCCCCGGTATTGCCTACGCCCTCGTCCACCTCCACGTTGACGGACACAAGACTCGTTTTGCACTTGTCGGCCGCACCAACATCAACATCCTCCGTGTCAGCAAGGAGGTTTTCGCCGAAGCCAAAGCTGTTCTATATGGCAAGAATGCATTCGAGGTCGTCAGGCCCACAAACGAGCTCTGCCCGCCGCCTGACTACAGTGTTAGGCTTTTCCCTACAGGATGTCAGTGTCTTGTTACTCAGCTCAACATCAAGATCCGCTCCTTCTATGACCTCCATTGGCTGCTAAGTGGTGGTTACAACGATATGAAGAACTACTACCGCGGTCTTGTTTCTCTCACCCTAATTTTGGAAATGGACGTTGCCAGTAAAGGCTTCGGGAAGACTTGGACTAGGATGGGCGTTGAGGAGAAGTGGGAGTGCTATATTCAGCGTCTCCAGGGAGAAGTGGCGAAAGAGCTCTTCAAGAAGATGCAGGTCAAGGGCACAGACACCAAAATTGTTCCAACTTGGATGAATCTCCGCGTCCTATTCTCGGGTGAGAGATACGATGAGAGAATGGATACCGTTGTTGATGTCGGAGACGCGCAGCAGGTAAAGCAAGATGAAATGAGACAAGGTTTGACAGAGGCCTGGGAATTGTTCAAGAAGCGGGGAAAATAGGAGGAAGGTATTCGAGTTATGGTTGGACTGACAAGGTTTGTGCGTATCTTGACGTCTAAAAAGACACACAAGTCATACAAGAGCACGCTATCGAGGAACATATTGGATGGGCAAGCAGGTTTTGGATGATCTTGCAATTATGCTTTTCGGATTGGGTTATTATCAGATACATAGATTAGAAGCATTACGCATTAAAACACTATGCGAACGTTTTGTCCAATTCCAGTTCCAAGTATATCCTCCCAGTGTCCAGTGTAATCCCTTCCCGTATTTCCGAGTCGTTATATATCCCAGTGCCCATTGTTGTCCGAATACCAAGCGCCGCGCTACATGCATCAAGTCGTGATTAACCCATTTAAACTTTTATCCCGTTGCTCACAGTAGTAATGTGAGCCACCCCGCAGCACCAACGATCAAACTCTCAATCCATTTATCCAAACCACCAACGTGCGTAGATACTCCAAGTGCCTTACTAGTCTCTCCAATTCCGCTCGCAATCAAGTCTCCGGCATCGCGGCTTCGCGTCGTAGAAGCTGAACTCGAACGTGTCGTACTGGCGCTATTGCTCTTCGGTAGCTTAGGAATGGTGCTGGTTTGTCCATTGATGATCAGGGCAGTTCCCTGTGAGTCCAGAGAGTAGGTTGTCCCGTCAATCTCGATTGACGAACCAGGTACGAGTGTTGTTCCGTCGTTCAGAACGTATTCCGTTGTTCCGTCTGCAACAGTATGTGTGTATGTCACACCGTTGATGGTCAAGGCTGGAGCGTCAGTAATGCCAGAGCCGGGTGCTGCCAGAGTGGATGTAACGCCGTTGACGACGATGACGGTACCAGATGCGCTCGTGGGCATAGAGTATGTAGTCCCGGAGATAGTAAGGACGCCACCCGGAGTAAGAGTCTGGTCCGGAGCAATGACATAGGCTGTTGTGCCGCTAACAACTTGCGCAGTAACGGATCTTCCTCCATCAAGAGTCACAACAGATTGTCCCGCCCCCAACACCGATGTCTGCCCGTTAATCAGGATGGTCGAACCTTGTCCATTTTCAGGCATACTGTAGGTCGTGCCATCAACGATGAGCGTGCTTCCTGCGCTTAGTGTTTGGCCGGGTGCTACAACAAAGACCGTTGAGCCTCCTACGACAGTCGCTGAGACGGTTTGGTCGTCCACTGTAATAACGGGCGCTCCAGTTACCACAGGAACATTCGCAATGGTCTGCGTAGCACCATTGACGATGGCCATACCGTTCGGCTCCATGCTGACTGTGTTTCCGTTGATGGTGATGGCAGGGCCTCCTGGCTTCAGTGTCTCGGATCCAAGGATGTACTCTCCTCGTGAATTTGGCGTGACAACACCTCCGCCCACCATAAGAACAGGCAGACCTTGAGTCGTTGCCGGATTGAAAGGGACCGTACTTCCGTCTACAACGATTCGTGTTCCACCACCATCTGAGGGTACCACCACAGGCACGCCGTTGATAGTCTTCGTCTGCCCTTGTGTCAACGTTTCGGATCCAATTACGATAATCGGAGGAACTGGATTATGATTTTGTCCGTTCTGATCATCCGGCTCGGCCTGAGTTGGTTTGGGAGTGTTCACTGGGAAGACAACTCCACCAATCGTCACGCTTCTAGTCGTAGTCACTCCTGGATTTCCGTTTGTCCAAATGGAAGGGTTATCGTGGTTGACCGTATTCACAACGTCTGGAATACTCGGTGAGGTTTTCCCGCCACCTTGAGTCGGCTTGACCGTGTCATCGGGTATTCTGTCAGGTTGGCTAGGCGATGGAGCATCGTTGTTATGTTGATTAGGATCGGGTTTGTTTGTGGGAGTGGGATCTGCTATCTTGTTTGACATCGTAGGCTCTGCGACATCCTTTGTTGCTGTATCTTGACACCTTAAACAACCTCGAACCGTGACGTGAACAGACGTGGACTCAAAGCTGGTCGCAATATATGTCCCTGTCAAAGGTGACAGGAAGATGGGAAATGGCGATGGAGGCGGTGCGGCTGGCGGGATGAGTCCTGTAGGTCTAGGACGCAAGAACGATTCGGGCGGTCTACTGTAGCTACAAGTAGCGATATCTGAGCCGCGGAATTGACTTTGGATAGCTGGATCTTGCTTTAGATGGTCGATTAGTTTCGAGGGAAGTGGAACAGGTTCGCCCGAGGGTGTGCTTTCAGGAGCCTTCCCTGTGTAGGTAGCAATGAAGTAACTCCATTCTTTGGTTTTCGTGCTTGCGGGCTGCCAGCTCGTTAAGGGCTTGACTGTTGGCGAACAATACCCTTGGGTCAGATTGCTATCCGGCCAGTATATCTCATGGTAATCATCCAATGCGCCAGAGAGCCGGTTGTATATGACGTAAGTTGGACCTGCGTCGAGGTGGACGATTACTCCTGGTGTTGGTTGTACTGTGAACGTCGGTGTCGCGCGTGTGATTAATTGGCCATTAGCTCCGGTAACAGTTTTTGTCTGGTTGACAGTACGCTCCTCTGTAACGACAGTCTCGACAGTACCGTTGTACATGTAAGTCGAATACTCTGTAACGATGGTCTCGGTTACCACTGTGCTAGTCCATGGGTTGTAAAACTCCCCCGGTACGTAGGATGTGGTTATAGGACCATACCCTGCGATAATACAGCCTGTACAAGCTCCATTGTGTACCGAAGAATTGGCAAAAACTGACGTGATATCTGAAAGCGGCGGTGCACTTCCAGAGGCAGTATATGTAACAACCGTGGGTGTCACTTGAGAGATGGAGTTGGTACGATTTGTGTAGATAGGAACCCGAGGAGGAGTGGGCAGATGTGGAGGAACATTGTGGAAAACCGACGATGTTATGTCCAACGGCGCAGCCAAAGAAGAGCTCACATCGTAAGCTGGACCTGGTATGGCCGCTGGAGTAACAGCAACAGGCGCATGTAAAGTAGTTGAGTCGAGTAGTACCGTGCTACTTGGCAGCGCCATCACTGATGTGTTATTACCTGAAAACGTCAATTTTGATGGTCTCAAGACGGACTCTGCTGCATACCATCTGTGGATTGTTAGCCACCTGAAACTTGCCTGACAAAAATGACGTACCTCTCCTGTTGTGTATGTTCGTATCTAAGCCCGCCACAACCAGCGCAGGCCCCAGTAGACTGACAAGTCTCCGCATCTTGCAATGATCCTTCTACACCAAGCGAGTGACAGTGTAAAGGTCAAGCAAGATGTCGCACATGCAAAAGAGCACTGTAAGAGCGAAAACAGCGAGATTCAGCCCAAAACAGTTCAGATTCCAATCATTCGATGAAGGCTATTCATACGCATGATCAGCTCGCGATCCATGCACAGCCCTAGTGGTAGCTACGCTTAGCGGAAACACGAGGCACATACCGTTGACGCGTATGACTGCCAGGGCATCTTCCAGCCCCGGTCTGCCGTGCTGATCAACTGGACATACCATGTATATCCGCCTAAATTCAAGCTTCGCGCTGACATGGTCCGCAGTGCACCGAAAAACACCTGCGACAGTCGACGAATGCGTGGTCAGTATCTAGGTAGTGTTATGGACGAGGCTTGTTTCACATTCTAGGCGTGGACCAGTATACCCTATATGACCTAAAAGATCTGTCCCGCAAGACCGATCGGATCTTGAGTCGGATTGCTGTAGACTGGAGCAACGAACTACTAGGTTTGCCGTTTAGGGCCAAGTGAAGAGATTGCTAGGCTAGGTCTTAAGGTTCTCGGCGAACACAATTCGAGCTTGTAGGTAATAGTTCTGAATGGAACAAGGCGTGCGCATCTAGCCAACTCAACCAAAATGGGTGAGTGGGCACTGCTGACTACCTGCATGTCTCGAGTGCTATCAAAAGAGAACATCTGATAGCATGACGGAGGCGTCGAGGTGTGGCCGCTTGGGCCGGGATAGTGTCAAAAGGAGGCTGATACGATGAGCTGGGGAATGGTTCCAAAGGTCCGTCATTGGTGGGGAGGCTGACTAAACCGTGCGCTACCCCTTAGCATGCCACCGGATGCGCCTCTCCCATGAGACCTCGTATTGCGCTCGACGAACCTTGGAAACTAGCCATGCCTTCAATGCTGCGGTCATCGAATCATGCTGCATAGCTTATGGCGGCCTAACGACTAGGGCGTGGGCGATCGTCACGCAGCGCCCGCACCTGTTGTGGTGGGTTCTTGGACAAAACGTCCATGAACCGCTCTGGACTCCAGGGCTTCCGATAGCCCAGGGACCGCACTCCCGGTATCAGAGCTGACTCGACCTGGGGTCCCAAAATCTTCCGATAGACAACTGCGCCATGTGCTACCTGCTTCAGACCGTCTGAGCCGACGATCAATCGCTTGCAGGTCCATGTAGAGACATCGGCCATCCTTCACTACCGTTCGCTCGCTACACAATGCGCCTCACAGCGCGAGCTACCGAGGCCCCGGAGCCGTATGTCGTGCCTCCTTCGGATAAGTTTGACGGCGCGGATGGAAGCTGGAGCACCTTCAAGATAAGCGTTGGAACACCAGGACAGGACTTTCGTGTGTTGCCGAGCACAAAGGGAGGCGTCACATACGTCATTGCCGAAGAAGGATGTCTGGAGGGAGTCGACCCGACGAATTGCCCACAACTCCGAGGAATAGAGGTTTTCCAGAGCACGCAAAGCACCGGCTTCCAGGTCAACGCGTCGACAACATGGTCGGCGATTGGACAATACGATGTGGATTTGGAGGACGCACTCAACTACACAGGAAGAGGACTGTTTGGCCTGGACACTGTCACGCTAGGCGCAGCTGCGGATAGCAGCTCCTCTATATCACTGACGCGCCAGGTCGTTGCTGCCGTTGCCGATCCAGACTACTACTTGGGACTCCTTGGTCTTGGCCAGGCAAAGTCCAGCTTCAACAGTGGGAGCCAGCCCATCGACTCTTTCCTCTACCAGCTGCGCGAGAGCAAAAAGATTCCCAGTTTCGCCTATGCGTACACAGCCGGCGCAACTTACAGATTGAAATCTGTCTTTGGCAACCTGGTTCTGGGAGGCTACGATGCGACGCGATTCGAGCCCAGTGCGAACGACTTCTCGTTTACCTTCTCCCAAGACCCCTCTCGGCTCCTGACTGTGGGAGTGGACTCAATCATGGCGACAAACACACTACAAGGCACCTACTCCCTGACCTCCGGAGCACACTTCTCCGTCATCGACTCTACAGTCCCACACTTGTGGTTACCTGCAGACGTTTGTGCACAGTTCGAGACAGCCTTTGGATTGACCTACGATCCTGAGACAGACCTGTACCTTGTCAACGATACTATCCACCAACAACTTGTCTCAAACAACCCAACTCTCACGTTCAAGCTTGTAAACTCGCTCGAAGATACAACTACGAACTACACCAACATAGAACTGCCGTATGCAGCCTTCGATCTTCAAGCCTCGTATCCGTACTACCCGAACGCAACGAACTACTTCCCGATTCGCCGCGCCGCCAACGATACACAATACGCACTTGGTAGGACGTTGCTGCAGGAGGCATATCTGATAGTAGACTATGAACGGGCAAACTTCACGGTTGCACAGGCAGTCTTTCCCGATCCTTTGCCCGCGTCAAACGTCATCACGATCAGATCACCGAGCGACTCTGATTCCACACAAACCTCAACTTCGTCCTCAGGCCTCGGCGGAGGTGCCATTGCTGGGATTGTTATAGGCGCAATCGCTGCTCTCCTCCTGTTAGCACTGGGTATATTTTTCTTCCGGAAACACCGCAGCAAACAGCAAAAAGAACAGCGATACGAACTCGCAAGCAAACATATATCAGAAATTGATTCTAGTTCTAATGTTCTTGCGGGCAGCCTGCCTCACAAAGCTGTGGGCCCGCAAGAACTTCAGGGCACGCCATTGACAGAACTCGCCTCCCCTGTGAACGACCAGTTCCCTGGCCATGCGTATCCACAAGATCAAAAGACAGTCATTGATATGGCAGACGAACCACAAGAGCTGCATGGCGACTCGATAATGCCGGTGACACCCAGATGGCAAGAAGTACCGCCGCATCCACGTTTCCAACAAGAGATGGACGTAGAGAGCAGTGCAAGCCACAGCGTGAGCGGTGTGCCCAGCGACGACGGATACGCGACTGGCGAACTTACACTCCGCTCTGGTGTATCGCCAATTTCACCGCAATTTCCTCGCAGCAAACATGGATAAATAGTTTTTAATTTTGGACAGAGTCCGGCAAAGGCGTTTGGGTCTGTCATACTTCTAGAGATACCACACATGTATAGGAAATGGGCAGGATTTAATGCATACGCAACACGAATGCGAGAATATTGATTACTATTTTGCAAAAGGCCTAGGCACGGGACTTGCAGCAGAGATCGACATCCTCTTAATGTATATGGCCCACGAGGAGTGAGCTTGGAAATAACAGTACGAACTTATAAAAGAGCTAGGAGGTTTTCGACGAGACTGCAAGGAATGGGTAAGAATTCTTGTCAGAGCCTGGAGATATTTAGTAATCATCCTAGGCACCACTCAGGTCCCAACAGCATTGTGTGCACAAATAACGACATCTAAACCCATCTCACGAAACGACTTTTGGCTCCAAGTTAGGGCGGTCACAAAGTTCTGCCATATTTCTAAGGACGCCGAGGATGGTAATACTGGTTTCTACGAGGCAGAGCACCTGCCAAGAGATACCCGGGTGATCGGCTCGTAGGGCTGACAGATGCGCATCCTTCCAGCAAGGGTTGCGGCACGAAGTCGAATATGTGGCCCGCGGGCTTCATGAGCTTTAATTGGAAAAGTGGGGGTGTGAACTACGATGACTTCAATGTGTGTGATGGCGGGTTGCGTACGTGGGTCATGCTGTCACGCGAAGAGCTTTTGTGGTGGCCTACAGACTGAAGTATCGCATGCCATTATCTTGTATGTGGCTTCTGAAACTGTCAACTCCTGAGTATCATATGACTAATCTCCTTAATTCGTAGATGAAATGAAGAGATGCAGGTACGACTGTGCTAGAGCCCTACTTATCAGCTGCGCTTTCCTGGGTGCGGGTGCGAGGTACTCCACACGTGAGGCTGAAGCAGAAATCGGATACAACCCAAGCCCGAGCGGGAAGGCCCATTGCGATTCCAAGCCACAAAAAGATGTTCTCTGCATAACTTGGAAATGAATGCAGAATGCGTGGACCGCGCTTGACTAGGTCCACCTCCAACAGGGCAGCTGGGAGATGGACTATGCTGAGGCTATGACGTAGGTGACACGCATGGCTGAAGCTATCACCCCTCATCCCCGCGCGCGCTTCCTCCAACCTGGACAACACCCCAAACACCTAATCTTCTGCCTCGATATTCAGATACGTCAATAATACAGACCTATACCCCAGACACCCTAAACCAACACCTAAAATAAACCACCGACAATGGACAAGATCAAGGAGAAGCTTCACATCGGCAGCAAGAACAAGGCCGACAACGATGTCACCACCAGCACCAGTAATGTCGGTACCATCGAGGGTAAGTGATAACTCCAAGTGACATACCAAGCATCGCGTCCAGTAGTCGTAGTAAATACACGTTGATCCGTCGCGAATAGCCTTCCCCTAATAACGCGCCTCGCTATTCTTCAGCCTCACTGAGCCCACCACTAACACCCTCAACAGAGAACCGTGACTCGATCGACTCTGAACTCGCCGCGATGCCCCCTCAAGAGCGCGTCGCCTACCTGAAAGAATTCGAAGACTCAGACAAGCACGACACGCCAAAGAAGGGCGGCCTCCTCGAGAAGCTCATTGCCCGAGGAAACAAGAAGACCGAAGACCAGATTGCCCAAGAGACCAAGGAGCGCGAGGCGCGTGAAGCTGCCCACCGCGATGCAACACACGCGACCATGGGCCCTGGCGCTGGTGCCAGCGCACATTCAGCTGCAGGACCCGGTGGATTGTAAGCGCATAACGACGAGTGCAAGGACATGATGGAATGTGAGCGACCAGCAAAGTTTCAAAGGGGGAAGTACGACACTTCCCAGACATGGATTGTGAAGAACGCTTTCTTAGCGATGGACTGCGATTACATTTACATACACTTTTTCTCGACATGATGAATACATGACATGAATATGAGCTGAGCTTCTTTCTGTATCTTGGACCGTGATGAGATGGAAATGACTTTACAACGCCCTCCTTATCTGGAACTCGACGGCGTGTGCTTCTTCATGGTACACGGGCTACTCGCTACATTCTGTGTCGATCTCGCGCATACCGTCGTCTTAGGGACGCCATTTTCCTCACAATGGTGTCCCCACCCTTCGATAGCCAGTGTTGATCTGACAAGCATGCGGCGAGCAATGGTGTGGATTTCACTGCGGTAGATGTATACCATTCCTGCTGCAAGCAAGAGTCTGGAAATAAAAGTACCGCGTAGGAGGAAGAAACTGGGAGAGTTGCATTTCAACAATGCTACGGCCGGGCAAGGGAGAGAAGGATGACATATGTACACTTGACGACCGCCTTTATTGGCGATCTTGAGACTCAAGCCTGCTGTTGTAGTATGTGATACAGTGTTCTCTGCCATTTCCCACATCTTCACCTCACTGATTATATCGTTCGGCTTCGTGGCGATGAGGGAATGATATATCATCTCGAGTAGCATTTGTCTTGCTTAAAAAGTAGGTTGTAAGGTGTTTGTCAAAGGGCCACCAATTTAACCTTGTAAACCTTCATACTGTCAAAGGAGTTGTGGTTCACCAAAGGCATGTCAGTCATGCCGGATGACACAACAGAGGACTGCAAGTACATTTCAATCGATGGTATTACTGTGAACCTCGGACCTTATGTCATGGGGTCCGCACTTGCTCCAGTAATGAGCTGGTATACTACAAGTCACTCTCTAACGTCCCCTTTTCCCCCTTAGATCCTTCACGAAACATCCATGATCATGTACAGAATAGAAGTTTGCCTCTAGAGAGGTAACCAGCTGTGTAACAACCTAGGTAACAAGAGCTGGAAGAGCAGTGCGGCAACCCGCCGTTGCAGCATCGCATTCCAAAATTGAGCTGATAGAAATGGCTGCCATTTGTATGGCCAACTTCACACCGGAAGTCCTTGCTCGTCAGGTGCTTCAGGTGCTCCACTTACAGCCCCATATACCCGGATTGGTACCTGAACTTCAAAGCTCTCAGCCGGTAATCGCTGGGCCGCCGCTAATATGACACCTCGATCGTCGCTGGATATCTCTTCCAAGAGATTGTCTTGTGTCGTCTCCTCTCCATCCTCATGCATTACTCGCGGAGTGATGAACTCGATCCTTAACTTCCACTCCAGGCTGACTCCACTGGTGATGAACTCCGGTGTGGCATTGGGTGGTATTGTAGGTGAAAAGGCTAGCTTTTGCGCAAACAGCGCGTTTTCTGAAAAGGATGCGTGCACTTTCTTCGTAACACGGTATATCGAAGCATTCGAGCGAAGTGCTATCGCCGGGTCGACCTTCTCAGAGCTTTCCAGTGAAATATGTATAGAATAGCAGGGAATACGCGAGTCTGTAAAGTCGATCACCGCAGTCATTGTTTCGCCTAGTCGGTAAGAGGGTCGCGCCAACATGATGACCGCAACACGGCGGCCGCTGCGGGCGATCTCAAAGCGGTTGGCGCTCTGATTCGCAGCACCCGTCAAGTTGCTGCGCAAAATGGCTGTGTCGATGGCCTCCTTCATAGTTTGGGGTTCTTCGGCGATCGATGACCGCCCAGGCATGGTACCTGTAGGTGAGAGCAAGCCCATGCTAGAATTGTGTCTAGGTCGATCTAGCAGGTTGTTCACGTACTCCAGGAAGTCGCCAAAGGTGTTTTCTTCTGCTTTGCCCGAAGGGCCTTTCTTAGTCGGAGAAAGCTTCGCACCTGAAGAGGGCTCTATGCTGGCTGTTCGAGCTTGATCGCGCAATATAATGTACGGAGACATGAGATCATGTCCAAGTATCTCGCCACGGCCTGGTCGGAGTTAGCATGTCAATGCATCCATACTTGAGCAAACATACTGTTCACGCTGCCAAAAACCCTGAACGGAATGTCCACATGCTTCACTTGCTGTTCTTTGGTCGAGCCTGCGCGTTGCGTGCCAATGATGAGATTGTATGCTACCTTCATCGACCGCCCCTTGTGTGAAGGTGGGAGACCTCGGGGTATTGTAAAGCTGTACGTGTAACTGCGGCTCTCGCCAGGCGCAAGCCTCAAATCGACGAACAGAATGGACTGGGGTGTAGTGATGAGCGGAACGGTTTTGGAGCTGGCAACACCCCTCATCTCCCGGATACTAGAGGGTTCTGATGCGCCCAGTAGCCCGCCCAGCGACTCTCCTATGTTGCCCCAGCCTAGCGCGCCAAAGAGCCCGCTCTCGCGCTTTGTCTTCTCTACTCCCACGACGCCGCCTCCACCCTGGCCACCTACTACTCCCTTCCTTTTGACCTCTTCGAAAGGTGCCTGGTTGATCAAGGATCCATCCAGCGTGAAGGAACCCATTATTTGTGCATAGCCCATCATTATCGACTCAGGGAGAGCCTGTCTATTGGGCGGTGCCAAATGCGATAGTCGTCGGTGGTGCATCGGACGCTGTAGCAGACGCGCGGAGGGATGAGCTGCATATTCCGAGGCTAGTGTTTCGTTGGAGTTGTTGCTCATCGAGTAGAATTCTCCACTGCTACGAGGAGTGTCATTGAGGCTCGACGCAGATATTATCCGTGCAACGGGCGAAAGCACTTCGAGATTGGAGCTTCCTGATATCCGTAGATGGTCATATGGCGGTTGTGGGGAGTTGCGCCGGACGTGTATGGGTTGCTTTGTAGGGCTGCTACTAGGCTGCGGTTGTGTGGCATCTTCAGGCGGAGGGGCGGCTGGGAACTTGAAGTTTGATGAGAAGGAATTGGAAGGTTTCCGTCCTGTGGTAGGAAGAGCTGGGGTACTCGGTGTGGTCGTAACACCAGGCCGTCTCCTGTTCTGACGCGCAGGAAAGGCAAAGTCGCCAGGGCTGTGGACTGTCGGCGATGACGCTTCGCCGGATAATGGAGAGGGATGTGTAGCTGATCGATGACCTGGTGAAGCAACTGCTACCATGTCAGCCAGAAGCATATATCGCGTGTGTCCTTCATACTTGGATACGAGTTTGGCCTGCCGGGCACGACTTGCAGACTTGCAGATCTTCCATGCCCTCTTGCTGGGCGTCTAATGGGTATGCCTCTCTCATGGCTGACTTCGGTTCCAGCATCTGTCCCTAAGGACACGATTGACACGGATCTTCCATGTTTCGGCGTTCCTGTGTTGTTCCCGTGTATGACGCTCGGCGGAACAGGCGATCGGCGTCCCCCAGCTGTTGACGGCGTGTGTAATGATAGTGCAGGGCGGTGTCCACGAAGATGTGAGGGCGGTAACTGCGAGGCAAAGGACGAATTGCGGGATACCGAGGGCCTCGTCGACGAGTGAACTGGCGGTAGTTTGCGCTGTCGCTCCCCGCCTGTCGCGAAGCCATTCTGCCTCCGGACCGGGGAGCGATCGCGTCCTTCAGGCGAGGCTACATTCTTGAAGGTAATAGTGCATTCTATGTCTTCGCCGGCGAACACGGTAGAGTCCTTCCATTGTACAAATACCCGGATGTTCGACGCGGACATGGTAGGAAGGCTAAGCGGCGCGGGCTGCGGGTTCGTAAGCAGCTCATCTGGTACGGCGATCAATCGGCATGGCGACTGCTAGAAATTGAACCCCGAGACGACAAAAACAGCAACAGACACCAGTTGAGGGTTGGTAACGATGGCGGATCTCGACTGACAGCTGCGCCGTCATGACAGGGATGTCCAGGGTCTAGGTACGCGGTCTGTGCTTCTTCCCCGGTCCGCCTACCAGCTCTTCCTCGCGGATGTGACCAACTCCAAGCGCAACCCAACCAAAATACACTTCCACATTTGGATCTAAGCTTCGACTCACCACAGACGAGCAAGCGCTTTGTGATCTGTGCAAGGGATGTATAGATGTATCGCAAGAGCTTAAAAAGGCTCTTGAGAAACTCACAGGTCAAGGCAAGCCTGGAAGATTTCGCAGTTTCCGACAAGCTTTGAAGAGTGTGTGGAGTAAGGATGATATCGATAACCTGGAACGAAGAGTAAAGATGTACAAAGAAGAGTTGAATATTCGCATAATCGTGGGTTTACGGTTCGTCTCACGCCTATTATCACCAGACAGGTCTAACTCTGGGCGACAGGAGCAAGATCGATGTCGTAGCACTTCAGCAATCAGAAGGTTATGCTTCACTTGCCGACGAAACAAAGTCCGTAGTTCAATCACTAGCTCACATCGACGACGGGATACAGAATGGATTCGAGCGACAACATGCCATTCTAGATACACTTCACTCGCGCACAGAGACGACTATAATAGCTCATGCTAAACAAGACAAAGAAGAACACGAGAAACTATCTTCTCAGATAATTGAGCTTTCACAACAATCCGGTGATCAGTTTGATCGAGCTTTAGGTGCACAGATCGTTACTAGGACCGCGATCGAGACGTCGATTAATCAGAATATCGCAGAGCACAATAAAACTCGAGAAGAAATGAACCGTCTCAAAGAACAAGCGGAAAGACAGATTGAGGTTCTCACTGAAGAGATTCGACAGCTCAAGATTGAGCTTGAAGCTAGTGTTAAAACCATCGTTGCCAGCCTAGGAACAGCTTCAAAGAAGGAGGAACAGAAGCTCAAGGACATAAGCAACGCCAAATTCAATCTGTGGGTTGCAAAGGAACTCATATTAGAGAAATTGAAGGTTAGTCTGCCATGAGGTATTCCGTATATGTTTAACCAGAGACTAGGCTTTTGTCGCCATGTTCCGTTTCAGCTTTGCAATAGAGTCATGGACCGGTACAACGAATACCAAGTCTTGGAAGCTCATGCCATATCCGAAACCATCCGAGTCTCCTGCTGGAATCACGCTCGCGTCTATTGAAATAGAATATACTGGCGAAGAATCGATGGCATACTTTCACGTGGATATATCCTATCCCATTGCAGCAAGGAATGTCCCCATGGTCAGAACGTGCCTTGATCAAGGTGTGAATGTGAACACCGAACTTCCCGTGGCAACTTATAATGGGATGACACCTCTGATTAAGGCGGTAGCAACTGCTTATGAGACCACACCATACGACACAATTGGAACAATGCTCCTGATGCGTCGCGATTCGAGGAAGATTGTGCAACTGCTGCTTGATCATGGAGCAGACAAAAGCTCAGAGGCAAGAGATTTGGCAAAGAATCCACCTGACAGTAGTCACCAACCTGATTGGTTAATCGAAGAACTTCTGGCACCTTCTCCTCATCCCAAACTACACCAGTTCCTCTCTTTGACGGATGCTGTGTGGGCTGGAGAACAAGAGAAGTTGGAGAACATGCTTACGCAAGACCCTGACCTTTGGAACGCCTCAGAGTTTCAAGGCGTCTCACCGCTCGGAGCAGCTGTATATCGTAACGACGAACGCATGGTAAGCATGCTTCTCAGCAGAGGAGCATCGCCGAATGCACGTGACCCTATGGGTTCATCACCATTGGCTATCGCTGTCGCTTCAAAACTGGAGATTATTGCCAAATTACTCCTGCAGTATGGTGCATGTATCACTCTCGTAGATCCTGTCCTTGGGCTCAATCCCATTGAATATGCTGCAAGAGAGGGGAACCATACCATGTGTGGTACTCTGCTTGGAAATGAGAAACCTCAAAGCCCTTACGACAAAAAGGAACTGCTCTCGAAACCATTCGCTCTAGCATTGAGACAATATCACACAGACGTTATCTTGGTACTTCTGGAACACGGCGCAGATGTATTCATGAATATGCAGCCGTTTCTACGTCCTAGTGAGAGAGGACAGTTTGGGTTTTCCCATTCCGATACGATTCCTGAAGAATTTCTGCGGGTAAAGCTCTCTTCATCTATGAGTGGTTATGAAAAATTTTCGATATTGCCTAAAATCCCTTCGGCGGAGCTGCCCTCCGGCAACACGCCTCATGAAAAAGAGGTATACCGATCACGTTTGTGTGCAGTCTTGAAGGAGTACGAGATTCGAGCGAACAAAAAGACATCTCAGAGAAGTGGCAAGCTGCTATCTGACGACTCTCAGTTGGAAGACCTTATTTCATTCAAATAGGAAGTTTCTTTTGCGACAAAGCATCACAAAAGGTGCCTGTGGCCATTAGCTGTATCAACATAAATACCATTCATATAAGGAGAATTGTCTTCCTGGTACATGCTCGCAGATCCTTCCCTGTCTCATCTTGGCAAACGTGTCGCTCATATTTTGTATCGTAGCGATTTGTACAACCAAAAGGATTAGTGGCTATTTCAAGCATATTAGACTTAAACTGAAAACATCAGGTGGCTAATGCTTGTCCATTGGCGTCACGACACTAGTCGAGCGCCACAAAGCGAACGCGTCACAGCATACTGCACAGTTGAGACTTTATTGAAACTTTTTTCGTTGTTTTTAACACAAATTCGTTTTTCAAACTGGTTTTGCGCACCCTCAATTATCTTCATATACTGGAAATGCCGACCGAAACACTGGTTAGCCTTCCCTCGAATACGCATGCTGCAGTCTCTGACTTCAACGAAACATATGAATTAATTGTTCGAAGGATACCGGTAATCGAAGACAGGAAAAAACTCTTCCTTGATTTGGCGTGGAGAAACGAAGCGGAACATGGGGTTTGAAGAGCCTGCCTTATCGTTTGTACCACTTGCGCGACTTCCACCGAAGCTCTGCTGACCGATGAGCGCGGCGGTGGTCTTGCAGTCTGATGGCTCGTTAGTGACGACATCGAGTGACAGTTCGCTAAATACTTACTGATGTAGAAGTTTCCAGCAGAATAGCGGAGGGCGTCTTCCGCCTCTCGTATGGCAGTACGGGAGTTGGCAAAAACGGCACCTGTTAGTGCGAAATTTCCACCAGCTTGGTCAATCTTCTCCAGAATCTGACTCCACTCCGCATCCGGATAGACATGTATGGCGAGTACAGGGCCAAAGATCTCATAGTTGAAGAGCTTATGGTCTGGTGAATCTGCGAGGTAGACGGTTGGCTTGACGTAGAAGCCTTCAGAATCATCGTAGGCACCGCCGACTAGAAGCTTGAGTGAAGAGTCCTGATTGCTCTCGTCGATGACAGCCTTGATCTTTTCGAACGATCGACGGTGGATTACAGGGCCCATAAAGGCTGCGAGATCCTCATGTGGGTTACCTTGGGTAATACCCTTCACGTCTTCGACCAGGGTATCGATGAATTCCTTTGATCGCGACTCTGGAAGATACAGACGAGAGGTTGCCGAGCACTTTTGACCCTGATACTCAAACGAAGCGCGAACAACGTGCTTCACTGCGGATTGGACATCCGCTGTGGGATGAAGGAGAGTAAAGTTCTTGCCACTAGTCTCTCCGACCATCCGTGGAAATTCGCGGTATGTGCTGTTACCAATACCCTGACCAATGCGAGCACAGAGAGATCTGAAGACGTCTGAGGAGCCGACGAAGTTGAGCCCAGCGAAGTCCCTGTGGTTGAACACGACATCGTTAATCTCTTCAGGCTCACCAGGTACGAACTGAATAACATCCGGTGGTAGACCAGCTTCAAGAAGGATCTTGTAGACGATGGTGCTTGCGTAGATGTTTGAAGGTGACGGCTTCCAGAGTACCACGTTACCCATGATAGCAGGGCCGGAGATGAGGTTACCGCCGATAGCAGTAAAGTTGAACGGTGAAACGGCGTAGACGAACCCCTCTACTGGGCGGTAGTCCATACGAGACCACATTCCGTCTGTGCCTCGTTCGGGTTGTTTCTCTAGAATCTCCGCAGCGTAATTGCAGTTCAGTCGGAAGAAGTCTGCCAACTCAGCAGCAGCGTCTACTTCGCCTTGCCAGATGTTCTTGCCTTGGCCAAGCATGGTTGCAGCAATCAGTTCATAGCGGTATTTGGTCGCTACCAGCTCGGCCGCCTTGAGAAAGATTGCCGCTCGATCAACGAAAGGCGTGTTTTCCCATGATTTCTTTGCTTTGAGGGCAGAATCGATAGCTTTCGATACTTGTTCCTTGGTTGTAAGTGGATAACTGGTGAAGGTCGTCTTGTGGTCCGCTGGTAATGGCTGATCCCAAGAGCTGTGAACTTGCTGTGATTTTCCATTGAAATGAATCTCGCTTTGCATAGGAATCTGCGACTTCATGTGCTTCAAAGTCTCCTCCAGCTTAGTTCGCTCTGGAGAACCTCTCTCGTATGTGGGGTTTGGCTCGTTACGAGCATCAGGTAACCGAAACGGTACCGTTGCTTTTGTGCGCAGTTGACAAGGAAGCAACGCGCATCTTGACGTGCTTATCAAAGGTCGCTTTCTAGTATGTGAAAGTCGTACTAGAGATCGCATGTTCGACATTCTGAGAGAAGGTAGCGGGGTAGGGAGGGGTGTGAGTAGGTAATGCACATAGGCACTCCGTTGCTGAACCACGCTTTCTATATCCATCACTCTGTGAGAGTCAATAGCCGCAACGCGACCCGACCATCACTCGTGACGCATAGCGACATCGCTGCAACTCCCATGCCCGCGAATACCCGTCGTCGACATATGTTACGGTGGTTTTTGGTTGGCCGATAAGCTCACCACGCCGGACCTAACTTCGCATGAGCTCAGAAGTTGATCGGGAGGCCTCCCGATGCATACCTAACCAAACCCGTGGCAGTCCGAGTGGAGAACGAACACCAGAGCAGTTGACAATGACCCGTGAAAGGCTCTGCACACGGTCATCCTTCTTTGGGATCATCATTCATGTTTACTATACATTCCGTAGAACATGCTTTGGGTTTCCCAGAATAATCTTTGCTGCTGCGCGTTCTTGGTTTTCGACCTCATTCAATACGCTGGGGGATTTCGTCCTAGGAATGTCACTTCCCATGCCTTGACTACAGTACTCTTCTGAAGACAATTGTCATCTGAAGCAATTCAGTTTCGCAGTATTCTTCTTGGCATGAATCAGTGTTCAGAACACCCGATGACAGTGTTCCTGCAAGAGGGACGGAAGCGCATCCGTCGCACGTCTCCGTGCGCGATACGCTAAGCCAGCCCCTCAGCCCAATAACCTAGGGGAACCGAGCAAGGCATCCCAACCTCCAGATGCAATTTCAGAGTTTGATTGAGCACTAGAAATATTATGTCGCAGTCAGACAAAGATGGAGAAATAATGCTTAGCGTTTATACCGTCTTCTGCGACTTCGAGGTGGAGCAGAGATGGCAGCCATGTGCGAAGGAAGACCAAGTTGGAGCGATGACCTCAGATCTCCATTGGTCCCCGCACATAGCGGTATCTATCCTAACTCAGCCCTCGACATCCCTGGCTCACAAGCGTGGGGTTTCTGCATGCGCGCTGGCGCGTCTTCCGCGTTGTTGATATCGATCGAGCACAGCACTTGGCCAGATTCGCTTCACTATTCTTCCCAGGCTGCGAGGTTCTCATGAGTGAGCCTCGGCAGACGCGATGACAACCTCCAACGATCATCGTAAAGTGACAAAACGATCCTCAAACGCGTACGCAACTCGCATGGTGCTGGAAAAGTGCACTAACAACAACTTCGAACAGTTGCTCGCGATGCAGGAGGCAAAAGATTAAATGTTCAGGGCAGCAGCCGTGCTCAAGCTGTGGCAGACGAAACCTTACTTGCATCTTCGATGACCGAGAAAACAAGGTTCTAGTAACACAAGGGTAGTTTGACGTGTTCCAATCGTGGGAGAAGAAGTTGATGCGGATGCTGATGCTACTTAGATATCTCTCTGACCTCCGCGCAAAGGTAGCCCGGCTAGAGCAAAACCAAGGCAATGCTTCAATAGCATCTCGGGTGCAAACGACAGCAGATGATACAACGGCGCAGGAAGAGGATATAGATGCACTAGAACCGGACCATGACCGACAGCAAGTCAATCCATCTAGCATCGGGGGTACGAGAGAAAATTCGCCGGGGCATAGACCTGAGCCTGACGAATCGAACTTAATCAACCCACTTATTGAGTCCTTCAAATTCTGGTCGTCTTCTGGACGAACTTGTAAGCCTGCCAGCCGCCGTTGATGAGTTTCGATTGATCTTATTCGCAGTCTATCTTGGTACCTCTTCAAACTGGTCATTCCATGGACAGATACTTAATTTAGTGCATGAGCACACTCGAAAATCACCTCTTCCGAGTGCCGATTTGTTGTTTGATGGCTCAGCATATGATTTACCCTGGGATGGTACCCGCAGCCTTCCAGATTCCACTTCTCCGGTTATTCCCAGTATCGACTACGCCATTTTCCTGATCAATGCTGTGAAATTCCATTGCGCTCAGCTTGTACATCTTTTCGACGAGGATGAATTCATGGCGAACATGCACGCGTTCTATTCGAACTCTGAGACCGGTGCATGGAAAGAGAGTATGTGGTATATACATTTCCTTATAATATTGGCTTTTGGAAAGACATTTATCCAAGCAAAAGGAAACGCACCACGGCCACCAGGTGCGGACTTCTTTGTACAAGCCCTTCAGCTACTCCCAGATACCAACCGGTTATGCCGCGAGCCTGTGACGGCGGTCGAAATACTTTGCTGTATAGCACTGTACCTGCAAGCCTTGGATTCAAGAAATGCAGCGCACGTAACAGTATGCAATCATCCCCATTTCTACACATTAGCTGACGTTGGTTAGATCGGTCAAGCTATGCGCATCTCAATGATCCAAGGAATGCATACAGATATGCCAGTTGAAAACTTGGGCGAACCTCTTGTCCAGCGATGCCGCCGAATTTGGTGGACAGTTTACATCCTCGATCGCCAAATGACGTCTTTGATGGGGCTGCCTCAATCAATCCAAGACGACGATATATCCTGCCAGCCCCCAGACTTCGTAGGCTCCGCTCAGCGAGCTGCAGCGCTGAACATGCAAATCAGACTTGCACGTATACATGCTGAGATAGCTAAAAGTACGTGATGTAACCTCTCGTAAAAGCGATGACTGATTTGGATGCCTAGCTGTGTATGGCTCGAAAGGTCGCCTGCGCAAGAAGTTTGTCCTAAGCATCAAGGCTGTTTTGGACGATCTTGGGTCATTGGCGGAAGAGCTCCGACAATCATTTCCTCTACATGCTGACGAACGCTTCGGAGGCATCTCGAGGATGCCGGCACATCTACATTTGTCGTATTACCAGGCAAGACCCAAGCCTTGTAGAACGCAGAACCAGTCTGACAAATATTTAGACCATTGTTGTTGTGACGAGGCCATTGCTTTTCTGCTGCTTGAAGAAAGTCTTCGAGTCACCAAGAGAAGTGCGACCGTTGGTCTCATCACGCAAAATACGGCATCTACTGCACATATCACTTGAAGCCTCACAGAAAATCTTGAATATTCTGGAAAGCCTGCAAGATCAAGGATTACTTGGTACGAGAGTCTAGCCATATAGACTTCTCCCGTACTGACTACATTATAGAGACGTTCCTCCCATGGGATCTTGACGCACTCTTTGTATCGACTATGGTCCTCATCCTAACCCGTTTTGTTGACTTCAGCTTGATGGACAACCAAACAGGTCATTTGGATAAAGCCTACGGCTTTATGGAAACTATAGTATCTAGTGGCAACCGAATCGCGGCATTTAGAAACGTGGAGCTCCACAAACTTGAAGAAATGTTAGCGGAGTACTTCGAGAACAGGGAACAGCCACCCACTGCGTCACCAATCACGATCGGCTCGGGCCCAAGCATGCAACACCCACTCTCCTTTCCTGAAGGATATCAATCTACAGCTGGGTTACTGAATTCAGAGGACACGCTGCCACCTCCCTATACAGGGGTAAGTGATGAGGGGAGTGGATTTGGTGATGATTTGACGGCTGAGCAGATTCTGGCTGTGGCTGAGTCTATGGATATTGAGGGAACGGATTGGCTATCGTTCGCGACTTTAGATAACTACCAGATCCTTGATTCGAGTATACAATGAAATGTAACAAGAGTGATACAAGGCTTGTTGAGCAGGTTATACGCGAGAAGCTCTACAATTTGGACTTGGCCGCTTCTTCTTGTACTTCGCGGATCTCTCTAACATCTCCTACCCTCCAGCTCACGTCATCATCAAAGCTCTCTCCCTGCGCCTTCTGCTTTGGTATTCTCCAACGCCATCTTGAGATGCTTTGTGTCCTGTCGGGCGAGTTTAGTAAGCTGTGCACCCACCTTCCGACTATCGGAAACATTTTGAAACCATGGCCAGAGTCGCCTGAGAGCAACATGACGGAAGAGCAGGTCTCGGGTACGTAGTCGACGATGAAATCAGAGTCCGCCGTATCCGCAAACCAACATATAAACTTTTTTACCAGCGGTCGATCGGCAAGATAGGGCAGCGTTTGGCGAAGCAGCTCGCGCATCTTCCTTTCGTCTTCTTTGGGTACGAAGCGCATAAGTCCTTCAGGCGCTTCAGAAACTCCAGTGGCGGGATTGGTATTGATATAGCCACCACCCATTGGACACAGCTTTAGGAGGTTCGTCTTTGGATCTGGTTCGAAGAAGAAGCCGAGATCACGAGCGTATGTAACGGGGATACCGCGCAGTGCTGCGGTCTCATCGTCAGTGAGGCGGACGTGTGCAACAGACCAAGATTTGGCAGACACTTCGGTACCAAGTTCTGGGACGATCTTATGTGCTGCAGCGCCGACGGTAACGATGACTAGCTTCGCAGAGTGAAATTGGTCGGCTTTGGTTTGAACGCCGATACTCTTCCTGCTCTTTCCTGAGCCTTCGTAGACGATCTTCTCTATTGCACCAGCTTTCTCTCCCAAGAAAAACCTGACACCAGCCTTCACTGCTTCGCGATATATCCCCCTCAACGCGTTGGCGGAATGTACGTAGCCGTTGTATTTGCAGAAGTACCCTTTCCAACCAGGCATCTCTCCGGTGAACTGCCATGCCCCAGCTACATTGCGTACTTGTTCAGCTCCTGAGACAGAATGGAGGAAAGGCTTCATCTCCGGATGTTTATCAGCAGCTGCTTGGAACTTGCGCATCGTGTCCACTGCTTTTTGTGGTGCAGCACCTGAAACGCAGTTTAGAAAGCCGACACGGTGGAAGTAAGGCGCATATAGAGGAGTTTGCCAGGCGTGGGTCGCTTCCTTTTGGTTCGTCAGTTCTTAGCACATCATCCTCTCACAGCAACGCTTGGGTCATCCAGGAAACTTACGACCGCCAAGTTTGTATAGAAGTCATCTTCGTATTCCGCTCGCATAATCTTGTTCAGATCATTCGCAGCGGACCATCGTGACGGAATCTCCTCGTCTTTCTCGAAGACTGTGATGTTTGTGTAGCCTTTAGTTGAGAGCTCGAGAGCTGTGGAGAGACCGAATGCTCCACCGCCAACGATGGCTATGGGATCGCTTTTTGAGACGTCCATGGTAGTAAGATAATAAGAGAATCAAGGTTTGGCTGCAAATACAGAGACCTCAGAGGGTTATGATACATGTTCTGCATACGCTTGTCTACTCATGCGACGCGTGTGCCAAGTCTGATCATCAGACGGAACTATCGGCAGAGGCCCCATCATACTGTCAACACGGGAACGAGACCGTTGCTGCACGTATTGTCAACCCCCGCAGATGTTGTGAGCGTTATCGTCCTGTCGTGATCCCAGCCCCCTGATCTCAATGAACGCTAGTGTTATCGATAAGATCGACCCGCATAACGCGTCGCGCTTTCCTGCACGATCGGATGGCCTCCCGACATGACACAACAGCAAAACTACGTAGGTATCCGACCGTACATTTTTCCCTTTTATGGACGATGACGAGAGTCTATCCGTTGGTTTCGCGGTGTGCGAAGACTGCCGTAATGTTCAGTCCGACCGATGTCGCCCAATCACGCTTGCGTGGCCTAGAGAGATCTAGTTGTCGGATGCATTGCGAGACGACAGCGACTAGACGACAAGACCTTGAGGCCTAATGTTATGGGTACTGATCTAGATATTGTCGAATCAACTTGGTGTACGGATGCGTAAATTGGTATATATGGGTCCTATGCGTTTGCGCGTGTAGTGAGCGTCACAAGGTGAACGACTCACACAACACTACACAATGTCGCAGCAGCTTATGCAGAGTGAGAAGAATACTTGGGGGAAAGGACAGGTACTGGCAGCTGTTTTGGCTGGAGATATCGCCGCGGCGACCATTTCCGCAACAGCGATCAGTCCTATTTTGACAGTCATTGACCGGTAAGTCGTGATTCATGTTCTAAACTTCATCTTTTAACAGTACTCCAGTTCCGTAGTTGAGAATGCCGCCCCAGCCAAACAGCCTCTGCTATCTACCCTGAGAACCAACATCCTCAACTCAGTCCGACGACCACGGCTGCTCTTCGCAACAAAGCCCTTCATCTACATGTGGACGCTCTATGCAGCCACATATACCACCGCCAACGCAGTCGAGAGCATAGGCACCGCACTCACAGCGGGAGCGGATCGAATACTCATCAGTTCTATCACGTTCATTTCAACGTGTCTTGTCAACGTACCTCTAGGAGTATGGAAAGATGTACGCTTCGTCCAAACATATGGTAGATCCGTAGAGCAAGTTAAGTTCAGCAAGATGGTGGGAAACACGAGACCAGTGGCTTCACCTACACGGTCCACCTCCCCAGCGCGAGCAACTAGGTCTTCGCGAACCGTCGCCGCAACTTTCCTCTTCCGCGACGCCATCACCATATTCGGATCCATCAGTCTACCGCCAATGCTGAGTTCAGCTGTATCAGCACCAGATCCTCTTATTCCAGATCCTTCGACTAAGAACGCCGCAATACAAATCTTTACGCCAGTTCTCTCCCAGGTAGTGGCAACTCCTCTACATCTACTGGGCTTGGACTTCTACACCAGCCCAGAAGGCAGCAGTGCGGACCGGACGCAGAGAATAAAAAGCGCCTTGTTACCAACGACGGCGATAAGATGTGCAAGAATTATTCCAGCTTTTGGGATTGGCATGGTGATGAACACTTGGCTGAGGGATTGCTTTCATGGGCAGGTAAGAGGTAGCGACTTTCTTTAATCAAGTTGGAATATGCATTCTTGATGGATGAGGTAATCTCACTGCGTCACTCTGATCTCGACTATGAAAAAGCTCTCGATAGTCTCGATGGCAGACCAATCTGACAGCGAATCGCCGAGATGTTGGGGCTTTGCGGTATTGTATTGTCTACACTATTCATTCTGCCCCGAACGAGGTATGAACGACCCGCTAGATCCTCTCAATGTTCAAGTGTGCTTTGCGTAAAGATGAGGTCCGCTATAAGGCCGATATTGTCACCTGCATAACCCGATCCAAGCCGCATCATCAATCGACCCCGCTTTAGCCAACCTGCAGAAGCATTACGCTTTCGCTCATTTGTATCATTGGTCTTGAAATGCTTATCACTTCGCCTCTTACATTCTGCCAATAAGCTAGCTGACCGGGATGTTGATCACCCGGGGATGTTGATCACTCACAAATCTCAGCACTCCCACACAAAACACGTGTTATCTCTCCACGTACTCAACCAAAATGGGCGACCGTGAAGCAGC